GACTTTTATCTTTTTTCCCCCCCTGAGGACAATAAATTCATTGGCACTTTACCTGTACTTAACAATGACCTCCTTCTTTGATATACATTTTGTCCCCAGCATTTATGAGTTGAGTTTTACACCAATCAATATGAAACACTGTAGACAGGCTATCAGACAACCTGATGTGTGGTCCCTAGAAGGGTGCCTTGTCTCCAGTGCCAATTCCTAGTCCCAAGAGTTCAAGTCCTAGAATTAGGACTGGCTTCACTCTACCAAGTAGCCCAAAGCCATTTCAGCTGTCCACAAAGAAGGGGAGTTCTGGTCAGGTGGTGGTGGCAGTGGTGGCGCACGCCTTTAACCCCAGCACTTGGGAGGCAGAGGCGGGCAGATCTCTGAGTTCAGGGCCAGCCTGGTCTACAGAGTGAGTTCCTGGACAGCTAGAGCTACTCAGAGAAACCTTATCTTGATAGAGAGACAGAGAGAAAGAGAGACAGAGAGAGAGAGAAACAGAGAGAGAGAGAGAGTTAGTTTGTGGTAGGCAGGAGCCGTGAGTGTGGCCTGAATATAAGACACCCAGAGTCCTCTCCCGTAAAGAAGAGTTTTAAAACATGATTTGAATACCTAAATTTGGTGCTGTTTCCCTACAAGGAAGTCCTTAGCTAACTTATTTTTCACACATCCAACAATTTTCACTTGCATAATCCTTTCTCAATCTCTGGACATTTTTTTTTCTTTAAGAAATTCATTAAATTTTGTCCTTTTTTGTTTATAGCATAGGCAATAGAAAAAATTCTGTTAAAAAGGGAAAATTAAATGTAAGGGGTGTGTGTGTGTGTGTGTGTGTGTAAACTAGAAATCAGAGGTCAGGGTGAGGTGTTTTCTCCTCTATCACTTTTTCTTGTGTCTTGGGGACAGGGTCTCACTGAACCTGGAGCTCACTGATTGGTTCTAGGTTGGCTGGCCTGGGATCCATGAATTCTATCTGCCCTGCTGGGCTTACAGGAGCACACCACAACGGCTAGTTTTTAATGTGGGTGCAGGCTCTCTGAACGCAGGTTGTTGCGTTTGCAGACCTAGCACTTACCCACTGAGCCATCTCTGTAGACCATAAATATTATAAATTCAATGTTTTATTTCCCATAACCATTTTTTAAAGTCCTGGTAATATTCCTAGAAAAGCAAGAAATAAGGAATGTGTCCAAAAAGCATGAACATTTGATTGACATGATGCGTATAGCATGACATCGGCTGCAACTGGCCTGCTTCAGATAAGATGGGAATTGCTCTGTGCATGACCAGCTCCCTGAGTCCCCAGGAAGGGGACATGTGAAGGAAATTCAGAAAGAAATATGACAGTGATGAAGGAGCCATGCAAAGGGACATTAGCCCCCTTGAGCATATGTTTCTGGCAGACCTTGCCCTTCTCCCCCATTCCCTCTGCCTGGCTACACTGTTAGACTGCATTCCTAAAGCTAGCCACCAAGGTCTATTCCCTTATTCAGCCTCTCCCTCCTCCTGAGGCTGACTACCGAGGGCCAGCTATCAAAGTACTGAAGTTCGGCAATCAGAAGCCCCTTTGGCTCACCTAATAACACATGGCCAGTTAAAATTAAACACCTCACCCTAACACGGGGTTTTCCCTTTTGCCTTTATAAACCACCATTTTCCTATGTGCTGCGTCTACGTCTCCTTTTTACCCAGAGGCAGTCATTTATCCCTCAGGACAAATGCCCTTTACCCCTCTCCCTTGCCCCTTTTCTTTCCCACTCCCTTGTTCCCTTCCCCTTCACCTGCATCCTCTATCTCCTGCCTTTGTCTCTTAGTCTCCGCCCTTTGTTCCCCTGGGGCCAATAGATCTCCTTTGTGCTGAGAACCTGGTCTCAGGGGACCTCGTGGAATACCTATCTCTCACACAGTGAGGGTGACCTACAAGGTCCATTATGCTAGCTAAGTACATGCGGCTTGGTTAAAGAACAACTGGCTTCAAACACCGCGAGTGTCTGTCGCTTTACAGAAAACACCAGGCTGAGGAAGAGAGAGCGCTAAGTGTTGTCCTAAAGATGATAACATCAATAACGACTTTTAATTCCCCCATTTCTAAGGAAGAAGGCTCTTGGTTTAGTTGTCTGCTGTAGAAGTAAGCTCCAGTCTTCTCTAAAACTTTTTATAACCATGAGAAAGATAATGCAACAGTACCTCACAAGCAAAAAGTAAGGAAGGTTCTCCAAGAGCATTCTGGGTAGGAGTATTGACTGATAAGTAATGAGGTTGCATCTGATGCAGAAAATGCAGAAAAGAGCTTCTGGTGTCAAATATGGAAGAAGGAAAAGGGAATAGAAAAAGAGATGAAGGAGGAAAAAATAATCAAAGTTGTAGCTTCTAACCCCATACCACCTTGGCTGGCTGCCTAGGTCAGTAACTCAGCAAGAATTTCTAACAAGGACTCACTCCCTTCCCAGAGATCTCAACCCTCACAGAATCTTAAATATAAAGTGAGATAAGAGACCAGCAAGCCATTCCAGGCTGGTTCCAAGGACAACACGAAGCCTCATGTGACGTGGGTGCTGCCAGACGGTCTTGTCTTCAGTTCATAGTTATTTCGATTTGAGGGTCTTTGTTCCGACCTTCTTAGCAGAGCAAAGAATTGATATTCTATATCTATTATTTAGATATATTGTTTATATCTAACATATTGTTTATTTGTTTCGTTTGTCAAGTTCACTGTCTTCCTAAAGAACAGCCCCCTCTCTCCCAAGAAACCACCATGGCTCTCCCTTCCAGCCACGCATGTTAGTTACCCCATACACCTCACCTTCCCGTCACACTTCACCTTCTCACTTCCTCAGATAAGCCCAGCCCAGATTGGTGCCTGGATTCCCTTTCCCTCAATTTCTCTAAATTGAGTCTAATGAAAATGGATGTAGTCATAAAAATAGAGACTTAGAAGAATTAGGTCACCTTTAATAGCAGAGTTTCTCAACCTGTGGGTTGCGATATTTACATTACGATCTATAGCAGTACCAAAATTACAGTTATGAAGTAGTAACAAAAATAATTTTATGTGGGGGGGTCACCACAACATGAGGGACTATATTAAGGATTATAAAGAAACCTTAAGAAGTAACTGTATGCCCAGTACCCAGTGTTCCAAAGGTTGAGAACCACTGCTTTAGAGAGAAGAAACTGGCTTATGTTGTCACAACACAGAGAAGCTGGGAGGACCGTGAAAGAGACTTGGTCTTGACAGCCTTAAAGACTCTGAGACCAACTTGCGCTAATCCAGTGCAGCTGCTAAGAAAACTTCACGGCATCCTTCTGACAAAACCCTCCTGTTGGCGAAATTTGCTCAGGTTTACTTTCTTTCACGAGCACGAGTCTTAGCAGCAGAGACTCTGCCATTTCCATTATTGGCTTCACCTTTCTTCACCCTCCCCACCCTTTCCTGGCACTACCCGTTTGCCCTCGTCCTATCTTAGGCTCTGCATACTTTGAAAGCATGGCCAACACGCCTCTGCCCTAGTGCTGTTCCTACCCGCTTTCCCCAAAACTGGCTTTCATTTTAGCACCAAGAGCCACCTGAGAGAGGGGCAAGTGTCCGGCCCAAGAATCTCTAACTTGGGAAAGCATCCGGCCTAATTGTCTCTGATGTGCAGCCAGATGGGGCCATCACCAAGCCAGGTGTTGCAGGAAACCCATGAACCTAACAAGGATGCGAATGCTCCCCTTTCCCCACCCCCCACCCCCCATCAGCTGTGCAAATTAGCTCTTCCACCTCCCTGGAAACATTGAGCGCTTCTCAAAGAAAGCAGAATTGCTGCCGCTGGGGGATTTGCATCCGGGCAGTTCCAAGCTGTAAAATATTACCTTGAAGGTGGTGGAAGTGACTTTGCCATCTTGGAACATTGCAGAGACAGCCCCAGTTCACTAAACGAGCTGCCGTGGGGTTTCCCTTCTGCTGAAGGTCACATCGTGGGAGCCATTTGTTTCTTTGTAAAGACTAGACTTACAGCACAGCCCAATGTAATTTCTCTCACAAAGTGTTTTTCCAAAAGAGCTGTCCTCAAGGGGGCATAGTTTTCTCAGGAGCAATGTTGAAGGGGGGAGGGTGGGACACGGACCTGTCACCTTGATGGAGTAAAAGCAGCTCTTTCTGTCTCACAATGGACCAGCAAACCACAGCAGACCACCTGTTCTTTCCTTTCCTTTCCTTTCCTTTCCTTTCCTTTCCTTTCCTTTCCTTTCCTTTCCTTTCCTTTCCTTTCCTTTTTGCCGAGGAATACCACCAGGTTGGAGAGCTTTCATCCGTCAAGACAAGCAAAAGCCTTAATTCATCGGGGTGCTGAGTGCAACTCAGGGAGGCTTTCGTAGAACCTTGGATTATTGGAACAGTTTTACATTGAATGTGATGGGGCAGGTGTTCCAAGATTTTTCCTCTACCAAGAAACATTCTCTCCCAACCCTCTGCCCTCTTTTTTTTTCTTTGAATTTCTTTGCTGTGTTTATTTCTACCGAACATGTAGAAAGTCTTAAGACTTTGCAAATCTTGGAATGATTACAATCAGAAGAATTTGGCCATTTGGCCAAAAGCATCTCCCACTCTGACGGAGTGTCGTGTGTGTGTGTGTGTGTGTGTGTGTGTGTGTGTGTCCTTTCCTCATCCCCACCCGCTCAACACATTTCAAAGAGTGCCCTAATAAACGGTGACAAACTTGCATGTGCTTCCCTTATGACTAAACGTCTGGGCCTCTGGCCAATCCCTGCCCTGCTCATATGGCCCCAAACTTCAGGCATCCTGGTCAAGGGCTCCTCCTTCGTAGCCCTAGTTCTCCAACAGCGTGACAGCGAGGGCGGAGGGAGTAGCGGTGTCTTCCTCCTGGGGGAAGGTGAAACAACTACACAGAGGAAGTGGGCGTTTCCTTCCCACGAGCTGTAGCTGGCTCTGGGTCTTGGCCTGGGGGCTCCACCCTGCCCCTCCCGGTGCTTTGGGAAAAGTCCGTCGCCACACACAGGCACTCGCAGCCCGGGCGCCACGCCCTAAGGAGAGCAGCCTTGGGGCCCATCGCCATGGCAACAGCGGAGCTCCTTCCACTTCTCCACCCAGCTGACTCCCCCCTACACCCCCCTTCCAGCGCAGCCAACCGGCTTGTGCGCGTCCCTGGAGCGCGCTATAAAACCTGCACGGGTGGCTCTTGCTGCTCAGCCTGACCTGAGTGACGGGGCAGTCCCCATTTCCAGCCCGTGACAGCCTTAGCATGTGGAGGATGCAGATCGCGAGCACCTTCCTACGAAAGCGATGCCTCTGCTTAGGCTTCTTGCTCTTCCTCCTCTTAAATCAAGTAAGTGGTGCACGCTTAAGATGCCCCTGGTCACTTGGCTCTCCTGGACGGCCCCTAATCGGTCCTGGGCTCTCTCTGCTTTAGTTTGTCCCCGATAACCGGGGTTCCTTTTCTTGTCTCTCTTCCTAGGTATCTGCAACCCAGCGCTGCCCATCCTCGTGCCCGCTTCAGTGCCCCACTACACCGCCGACCTGCGCCCCTGGGGTGCGCTCGGTGCTAGACGGCTGTTCATGCTGTCTGGTGTGCGCCCGCCAGCGCGGAGAGAGCTGCTCTGAGCTGAAACCCTGCGACCAGAGCAGCGGCCTCTACTGTGACCGCAGCGCAGACCCCAGCAACCAGACTGGCATATGCATGGGTAATCCTATCTGCCCCTGCCTGCTATCCCCTCCGTGGCCTGACCTCTCCTTGGGCAGCAAGGTGAAACTGCTCCATCCCTTTGCCCTCTTCTTCCCTTTCCGGTTGAGAACTAAGCAAGAACATGTGTAGCAATAATACAGTAAGTGGCATATTCAGAGAGCCTACTGTACACCAGGCATCAGACCGAAAAGAAACCAGCTCAGCTCAGGTACATCACTTGTCGCTTAGAGAGGGGACCAAAGCAGAGTTGAAGGGCCACTTCAGGGGGACAGCTTAGGATGACGGAAGCAGGGGCTTACTCATAGACTTACAGTTGCCCCTGACTGCAGTCCAGTATATGTTTTCACACCTGTAATTATCCTACTGGAGCCAAAGCAATTCCTGTCTCCTGGGAGGACTATGTCACGCCTGTCTGGGGTGCAGTAAAATAAACCGCAGGCAGCTAGCCAATGCAGACTCATGAAAATTAATCAATGGGAGGTCAATTTCCCACGCGGTCGGTGCACGGCTGAAATCGGGATTATCCCCTACCTCCCTTGGTAAGAGTTTGAAGTAAGCATTTTCTTTTTTTTTTTTTTTTTCCTCCTCCAAGCTGCTGGTGACTTTCTGGGCTTTAAGGCCAAGAACTCTTAATGCCCTCCCCAGTCTGACCAGGGAAGCTATTGGGTTTTAAATCCTAAACTTGTACTGCAGGAGAAGACTAGGAGCTGGTTCTTGGGAAATAATCTTATCTTTGGAGATAGGGTCTCTGGAGTGTGACATCACCATTTGTTCTTGCCTTTGTTCTATCTTAGAAATGAAGTCATTTCGGGGTAGGAGATTTGAAGAGGAAGTAGAGGCGTGTTAGAAGCCATCAGTTGGCCAGGGCATGCATAGTGGCACTGTGCAGAGTCCATCCCTTTGCTCATTCATAAGAACTAGGTGAAGAAAAAAAGACCCGGTGGGATTGTGCCTTATCCTTGCTCTGGAAGCATCTACAAGGACCTGTTCCTCCTTGCGATTTATAAGCCTGTCATCTGAACTAGAAAAGGAACAACTTCTAACAAGCCCTACCAATCTCACATAGCTTTCCAGTTAAACTGTTCTCTCTCTCCCTCCCTCCCTCCCCCCCCCCCCCCCCCCCCCCCCCCCCCTCTCTCCCCCCCCCTCTCTCTCTCTCTCTCTCTCTCTCTCTCTCTCTCTCTCTCTCTCTCTCTCTCTCTCTCTCTCTCTCTCTCCTCTCTCTCTCTCTCTCTCCTTTTCCTCCTGCCTTCCTTCCTGAATATCCCAGTTCTAGAGGGCGACAACTGTGTGTTTGATGGGGTCATTTACCGCAGCGGAGAGAAGTTTGAACCAAACTGTCAGTACCACTGTACCTGCAGAGATGGGCAGATTGGCTGCGTGCCCCGCTGCCAGCTGGATGTACTGCTGCCCGGTCCTGACTGCCCAGCTCCAAGAAAAGTTGCCGTGCCTGGGGAGTGCTGTGAAAAGTGGACCTGTGGCCCAAATGAGCAGGGGACACTGGGAGGCCTGGCCCTTCCAGGTGAGGATCTCCACAGTCATGGGGGGTTAGGGTAAACGTAGTCCGGAAACAGGCATTGGCTCTGGGATTTGAGATGAGAAGTTGGCTCTACTTCTGGCCATTCTATTGTGAATGTCAGATCGCCCACTGAGATCAAATGCATCATTTATTTAAGTCTGAGCTAGATTGCAGAAATATTCACACAGCTCCTCTTTTAAAGGGCCCCTTTGAATCAGTCACTTTTGTTTCTTTTGTGTATTATAGGGTTGGTATTCTTTGGCCCTCTCTCTCCTGATTGACCTGAGAAAATCCCTTCTCTGGATTTTTGGTTTGGGTGGCTCTACTTACTCATCAAAATTAATATGTAGCATTGGGGAAATAGCTCAACTGGTAGAGCTAATGTGAGGTCCTTACTTGGATCCCCAAGACCCTTTATTAAAAAAAATCCCTTACCTGCAATCCTAATGCTGAGGAGGCAGAGATCTATGGGTCACTTGAGTTCACTGGCCAGCTAGACTAGCCCAATTAATTAGCCCACGATTTCAGTGAATGCGTTCCTGAGGAACAACAATTGAGCTAGACCTATCGCCTTTGTACACATGTGTATACATACAGATACATGTAAACCTTCAAACACACAGCCATATACACTCACACACACACCTGAACATATACACACAAAATTAAGTTGTTAGCATGACCTTTCTGTGTACCAAGTCACATGTTGAAAACATTCAGCTTATGATGCTATATATGGTCCTATGTTCATAAAATTACTAAGTTCCTGTGACAAATTGTCCTAAGTTTAGGGTTAAGTGAATAAAGATTTCTTGAAGTCCTGCATTGTGCCCTGCCTGTTAGGGGTTTGCAAATAGACCTAGTTCTGTGCTCTTCAAAAACTGATCTATGTTAACTCCAGAATTAAGATCCACTATCTAGGAGACAACACTTATTGATCCCCCACAGTTTGCTGAAATAACTGTATTTACCCTTTTGCTAGCCTACAGACCAGAAGCCACCGTAGGGGTGGAAGTCTCTGATTCCAGCATCAACTGCATTGAGCAGACCACGGAGTGGAGCGCGTGTTCTAAGAGCTGCGGCATGGGCTTGTCCACCCGGGTCACCAACAGGAATCGCCAGTGTGAGATGGTGAAACAAAGTCGCCTCTGTATGGTTCGGCCTTGCGAACAAGAGCCCACGCCATCAACAGACAAGGTAGGAGCCTAGAGGAGTCCTATCGCGTATATAGCATCAGTCTCCCTGAAGCCTGGCCTTCAGAAAGCCACTGTCACACCTAGTGAAAAATCTGCTCCAGCTGAGCATTAACCCAGACAAAGGGTGTGGAACATCCTGAATCAAAACCGTACTTTCTACCTTTCTTTTTTAAAATACATAAGTGTTCCCCCCCCAAAGCAATTTACAGCAGTTGTGCAAACAAAAGGGAAAGAGCACACCACTCTAATACTTTACCCAAAATAGGATGCTCGAGTAAATCCATCCCATACCTGGAGGGAAAAGCAGCTCTCCTGTTGTCAAGTGGAGCTAATTTAGCAAGGTTACGTTTTTTAAATAAATCAGGTGCAAGCCATAGGAAGGACCAGAATAGATTCTATGTGTGCTTTATTCGCCTTGAAGTCTCCAGATCCTACTATGCACCCTGGAACATATTGTCTACACAATAAACAGCTATCAGTGCATGCCAGAATGGGTGTCTGGGAATTATCAACAATATTTTTAAAAGCCTGGTAGAAATAATACGTTTGCCAGAGTAAGGCAGCATGAGCCAAATGAAACAGCATACTTCTTCTTCTTTTTTTTTTTTTTTTTTTTTTTTTTTTTTTTTTTTTTTTTTGGAGGAGAGGTGGAATATGTCAACACAGTGTGTTGATTCCGGGTATAAGGTGTGAAGATCGAGAGTCCCTAATTGGTTCCTGATGACATAACAGATCTTGTTGCAGAACTGGATCGGATAAATGTAATACCAGATTTAACATATCAGCCTAAGGCCAAAAGAGAACAGCCCCTAGAAATGCAAGCTCTGTGTATCTCTACTCTAAAGAATATTCCTATAACATTTAAGGGGACATCGCGAGACCTGTTTAGCCTGGCTCTAAATCCTTTCAACATGACCTAACTAACCGTGTGGTTTTATTTATTTATTTTCAGTTCTTTCCCCATAGAGTGTGGCAAACTCAAAGTGGAGTAGAAAATAAAAGTCATTTGTCTTCTTATTTAATAAAACCTGGATAGTTTATTTATTATTTTAACTGGTAGTGTATTGCATAAACTCTTCACCCAATGCCCTTTCACAGAAAGAATCTTAAATTTCACTGTCCTAGAATTTCCAAGGTCATAATGTATTAGAAGGAATTGGCTTTGCATCAGACAAATTCCAATGCCTGGCACTTTCTGATCATTTCAGTCCTTTGAGACTCTGTTTTTCAAATAAAATTGGGTCAGTTGTACAGTTATTTCTTATGCGAATGAATGTCGTTGAAGTTAAATAAATTTATGCCTGAAAAGTTTCTGAAACATGAACCGGCTTTAATGATTGCCACATTTATTCCCTCTCTTAATAACACAAAAGAATGCATTTAGCTAAATAAAATAATGGCTTTAAATGGGAGAGACTCTTTCTTCTTCAAGTTCATAGCCTCAGTGACAAATGGGGATTCTGCGTACTTAGTATTACTATGTTCAAATTCTAGGCAGAAAAGAAAATGAATGTAAGAGACAAAGAAAAACTGTCCAAAAGGCAGAGGAGTGTCCAGAAATATTGGGTTGATGTGCTTATTGGTTAAACGTTATCACGAGTTCCCAGGTACTCTGGGGAAGCAACTGATCTTAGCCGACAAGACTGTCCGAATAAAGTCAATGATTTGTTTACCAAAAGCACAGGTTGGATGGGGTGACTGCTAACGGTCACCCTTCAGAACCGCAGGATTTTCATTCAGCCTCCTTCTTTTTCTCTTTCTCAGAAAGGGAAAAAGTGTCTTCGCACCAAGAAGTCCCTGAAAGCCATCCACCTGCAGTACAAGAACTGCACGAGCCTACATACCTACAAACCCAGGTTCTGTGGGGTCTGCAGCGATGGCCGGTGCTGTACCCCCCACAACACCAAAACCATCCAAGTGCAGTTTCAGTGCTCCCCAGGGCAAACCATTAAGAAGCCAGTCATGGTCATTGGGACCTGCACCTGCCACTCCAACTGCCCTCAGAACAATGAGGCCTTCCTCCAGGAGCTGGAGCTGAAGACCAGCAGGGGAGAAATGTGACCGGTGTCAAAGCAAGCACCTGGGTGGAGGCAAAACGTTGCTGCTGCATGGTCCAGCATCACCTGCATATAAGAAACACAGTGAAGAGGTGTCCCGCGTATGCTTCTGTGGTCATGTGAGGTCATTTGTATGTGTCTTTTTTGAACAAAGGGGGTTCCAAATGTAAACTTGGAATCGAGGTAAGCTCAGGATATGCCTTAAGGGTAACTTACTTTCCTGTGTTGTTTATTGCCAGTGTAAATTTGTCCATAGATGGTTGAATTTGTAGAGCGTTGCACTTACTTTCTGTGCACCAGTTCAATTCCAATAAATATCACAGAAACAAACGACACAGTGATATCTAAGATCACACTGAACATGTACATATCTATCACCGCATACTGAGGTTGACTTGAGGGACCTCTACTGAGCTCCTTGGGATTGGTCAACTCTGCACTCTCACATCTAAGATTAAAGGAAGCATTCAGCTCTTGAGCATGAGGTTCAGAGACTGATTCTCTCCTTACTGGTAGAAAACGTGCTGTATCTACAGCAGTGGAATGCCTGTTCACTAAGTGGGACTCGTGCCATGGACTTCCTCCATTGCAGACAAACTGACTCCTTTCCAGTCGAAAGAAGCTGAACCAAAACCTCCCAGTGCAGAGATGACGGGACCTCTCAGCCCATCACTTGTGTCCTAAAGGCTGCTGAGGCTCACTCCTTCGTGATTCAGCAGGGATTCTCTCATACTCAAACAGTACACTGAGGACCAAGCCACCTAATTACGATCTCTAATGACTTTCAAATGTGCTCTTAGTGCCATTTAGAGAAGGGAGGACAGAATCCACAGATTTTATGAGCATTTAAAGTGATTGAAGACCTGCTTAAAATAAAACCTTTGGTCATAGTTAGGAAAACACAGGATATACATTTGTACATATGTGTGTCTGATAGATGAAGATCATAACATGTGCTACAATTTGTGCATCCCCCTAATGCCGCCACACGTGATCCCCTTTTGTCCTTCAAGTGTTTGTAAGAATATAAATTATACATTTTTGTAAGATACTCTTTTTAATTTCTCCAGTTGTCAGACACGGCTTTTAAAGAGACGATGTTATCAGTGCGTGACTCTGGTATCAGGTTCGTGTGACAAGTTTAATGGTGTTTATTGAAAATAAAATCCGTGAATGAAAGCCTACATCACTCAGTAGCATCTATTGGAAAGCAAAACTGGATGGTTTGTGATGAGCTCATAACTCTTTATCAGGAGGAAATGAAAGACAACTTTTACTGTGTTCAGGGATCTCCATTACCAAGGTCTCAAATATTCTCCGTGCCATTAACTCAGGCATTATCTTCAGCCCCAATCATTGTCCACAAGCCCCCGCCCCACATCCTTATACACTGAGTTCTGAAGATCAATATTCACTTCTCTGACTCCCTTATCAAGTTAAAGGACATCCCAGCCTCCATCCCCATCACCCAGGTGAAACCATGACAAGTTTGCACCTGCCACAGACGATCTTGCTTCGATTGGTTGCATAGGTCACAACTATCTACAAAGCATATGTGTTATATTGGCTGTTATGAATAATTCAAAGGTGCTAGCTATAGAGGGGGTGTGTATATGTTCTATGCAAATACACGGTTCTGGATGAGGAAGGCCTTGAGCATCTGTGGATTATGGTTTCCATGGGAGACCCTAGACTGGGACTCTCGGGGATGCTGACAGGCACCTGTATTTCCAGGGATGATGCAAAATGGAAGCAAACTCAGAGCTGCCATTTGGGTATGAAAGAGTCAAGCCACAGCTAATAAGAGCTTTTATAGTTTGAAGTTTCTGCCTGGTGCAGTGGTGAACCCACAGTTCTTCCATGTTTAAAAAAAAAAAAAAAAAAAAAACTTTTTCCAACTCCACTCCCTCAGACTGGAGTAGCCTCCATCCATCTTTACAGCTAGTTTGCATTCACCTTCAAAATAAACTGGGAAGCAAATTGAACTTCTAGGAGTCAGTTCACAGGCTAGAAAGGCCATCTAACACGCAGTGCATTGCTACAGTGCATTTCTGCCTAAGCACTTCACTTCCATTACTTCATTTAATTTGCATAGAAGCATGAAGTCAGTCCTCTCCGTGTCCTCTGGTTATTCATGAAAAGCATGTTTTAAAACAGAAACATGTTTAAAAAACAGAAAGTCAGAAGAAAGGGCCATGGAAAAACCTGAGAGTAAGCCACGTGTCTGCTACACAAACATAGGGCTCCGAGGTCGGACCCCCAGCGCTTGTGAAAAGCTGGGTGTAGCAATGAGCACCTGTGTGCGGCAATGCACACCTGTGTGCTGAGAACTGGTGGAAAAGGGGGGGAGACAGAACGATCCCTGAGATTCACTAGCCAGACAGCCAAGCTAGAACATCAAGATCCGGGTTTAGCGAGAGACCCAGTATCAAAAACATAAGGTGGAAAGGAAAAGAGGAAGACACATGATATTGGTTTCTGACCTACACTATCTCTCTCTCTCTCTCTCTCTCTCTCTCTCTCTCTCTCTCTCTCTCTCTCTCTCTCACACACACACACACACACACCTATACATACCTACACACATATAAATACATACACACATACACTCACACACTCAAATCTTCACACACATACACACACACACACATACACTCACACAAGTACATCTACACACACACACACACACACACACACACACACGCTGTTAAAAAGAAAATGGATAATTGTAGGCAAATATTTCTTCTTTGTACTGTGCTTAAAGCTCCTGAATGAGTCCCACCAGGATTATCCCTTCGGAGCCCTTTACGTCCATGCTTTTCATCAGGAGTTCCAAGAGCAAAGATTTAACTAGATAAATCATAATGTATCAATTTTGAGGGAAAACAAAGAATTCTTTACAATGAGAATGGAAAAATAAGATAAAGCACACACATCCGATGTATTTACTATAAGAAAAGGAATTTGTTACTGCTTGGTTTGAAGATATCTGAGAACCTGGTGATGGTACACACATGTAATTCCGGTGGAAGATCAGATTCAAGGACAGCTGGTGGTGTAACAAGACTTTATCTTAAAACAACATCTGTGAACATCAACCAAAGGAGATCTAGGAGAGAAGGTACAGCATAATATTACGAGTATAACAAAGATTAGTGTAATGCTGTTTGCATTTTTTATGACTGTCAACATTCTTCAAACTGAGGGTGTGCCCTATTGTTGTAACTACAAAAAAAAAAATGGCTGGATGAAGATGTCCCTTCCAGTCATCCTCTGAGACTCCTTCATATAGAGTTAAGCTGTTCCTTCGGGAGTCAGAGACAACTGCTAACAAATGCATTTTTTTTTCATCTAATGAATGTTCCGTTTGCCTCTGTGCGCCTAGCACTGCTTTAAATCCTGGGAATGCAGCTGAAGATGAAACAAGGACCGAATTAAATAGGCTACCCTTTCTCTCTGGCATTTACAGTTTGGAAAAGCTAGTGCAAAAGACAGTGAGCATAAATAAATCTTTGGTAGTGGATACATACGTCCTACAATCAAAACAGTGGCTAATTTGTCTTGAGGTAGAGTAGGGTTCCTATTGCTGCAATGAAACACCATGGCCAAAAAGCAAGCTGAGGAGGAAAGGGTTTATTTGGCTTACATTTCCACATCACAGTTGATTAGAGGAAGCCAGGACAGAAACTCAAATAGAACAGGAACCTAGAGGCAGGAACTGATACAAAGGCCATGGAGAATACTGTTTACTGTTCTGTTCCTTATGGTTTGCTCAACCCACTTTCTCTTTTTTAATTTTACTTAAATAACATTTTTTCATTTATTTTATATACTGATCACCATTTTCTCTCCCTCTTCTTCCTGCCCCCACCCCTGCCGCACTTCCCATCTACCCTCCTCCCCTTCTACTCCTCCTCGGTCTCCATTCAGAAAGGGGCAGGCCTCCCGTGGTCACCCCACTTCCTTATAGAACCCAAGACTGCCAGCCTGGGTTCTATAAGACAACATTTTGCCTTGTTTTGGAAATATTTTATAGCCTGGTGTTCATCTGTTTCTCAGTGGTGAGAGCCTTTAACCCCGGGATCTTATTTTCCCTCAGACTCTTCTCATATCGTGAGTCTACTCAGTGGAGATGGTGGCAGTTAGGGCTGAATTTTGGCCCTGAACTAAAGTCTGCCCTTACAAAATCAGAAGCTAATCCTCACCCGTACTCCACAGCGCATGCCGAGAAAATACTATTTTGCTAATTAGTTCAGTAATTTATTCTGCAAGCATTTGCTAAGAATCTCCTGGGTCCTAGGTGTACTGCTAGGGATGCAGGAATAAGATGCTGTCCATACAAAATTCACAGCCCACAGGATGGACTTTTTAATAAAGGCCAGACTTCTAGACTTCCGTTATTATTATCACTGTCTCTCACTCTCCAAGACACACAAACACCCCCTTACCCATGCATTCCTGAGATTATCATTAAAGGTTAGAAAAAATGGGATCTGACGTATGAATTTTTGTAAAGTTCAAAATGTTCTTGTAACATAGAAGGAGAACCAACCCTGACCGAGCCGAGTCTGGGGCCACAGACAGCACTGGCTTGGGATGGAGTCAAGCCTGGCTTTGAACACCAGAGTCATTCTTTCTCAGCTCTGACATGAGGCAGTTTGTGCCCAAATCTCCGTGAGACCCTACACTCGTGGGTGAAGAACTGCTTTACTTTGTCCTCAGCTTAGATGGTCTTGAAAATTCAAGGACTGTCCTTTGTAAACTCAGACCAGTCTCAGACAAAGCAGATCAAGACAGTCACTCTACGTAGGAACTACAGAGCTAAGACAGTATGTGCTCAGTTGATTGTGCCTGTCACATAGCAGGCTTGGAAATGATAGCTGGTATTGTAAAATACACAGTCCTTTTTATATATATAGTTAACGTACAGTAGACTATTGAGCTGTGTGCATGTGTGTGTGTTTCTGTGTGTGTGTGTGTGTGTGTGTGTGTGTGTGTGTGTGTGTGTTCAGATGTATCTGAATGTGTGTGGGAGGCCAGATCAATGCTCCGTGTCTTCCTCAATTGCTCTTCACCCTATTTTCGGGGAGAGGGTCTCTCACTGAACCTGGAGCTCATTGACTTAGCTAATCTGGCTACCCAGCAAACCGCAAGGTCCCTCCTATCTCCCACTATCCAGCATGGGGATTACAGCGTGCCCTGCCACACTCCGCTTTCCGCATGGGCCTGGGGATTCAAACTCAGGACCTCATAGTTACGCAGCAAGCTTTTGGCCAGCTGAGCCATTTCCGCAGACCCTGTGGAGCTCAGTTTTGTAACGAAGGAGAAAGGGATCCCAAAGGCTGAATGACCTATTAAGGACAGACTGCATGAGAGGGATTCAAACTCAGGGTCTGCTTAAGCCCGGAGTCAAAACTCTTTCCTTTCAAGATTGCCACGGCCACTGAGGCCAAGGATATTTTCAGCAACCAAAACAATTCCAAGAGCTCTCATTTTCTGAGTTGTTTTCCCAAACCATAAATGTTCTCTTTTCGGAACAGCATTGCAAAGTAGTGACAGTGTAAGGTCACTCCGTGAGTGTGGAACTTTGAAAGCCCTCGCTCGCCCGAGCTGTGATAAGACACATTTCATTGAGAACTATCAGCAGGGTTTATTTCAGGAATTCTCTTTCCCACACAAGGATTCAATTAACGAGTGAGGCAAGGATGCCCTTGACTAGACGAGGAGACGATTTGTCATTCACAAAGCTCTACTTGATGAAACTCTCAATGAAGTTTTCGATAAAGATTTCTGGGAAGTATTAGGTTCCACGCTAACGCGCTTTCTTGTAGGTACACATTGTCATGCTTCTGAATGGAACCCATGCCAGAACGCTCGCTATCAGAAGTCAAGTCATCAAATCAGTATGTTCTTCTTGGCTGAGTGCTACTGAGCTTCGACTGCGGATGCTCTATCGTTTAGACATGTGTTTGTGTTCAGCCCATCGCACGAAGTCTTGCAGGCGATGCTACGCTGGCTGGACCACAGAGGGTTCACGAAACTCAGTTGCCATTTCAATAACACTGTTGGCATTTGCCCTGCTAGGGATAATGAAGAATTCTCTGCCGTCTTTCAGCTGGGGACGTAAATTACTGATCCATTAAGCCAGCTGTTTCTGGGATAATCAGGAGGTGAAAAGGACAAG